CCTGTAGGTGGATTAAGTTCTGGCATAATAAGAATCTGATGAACGAGCGCTAGCTTCGGTGAAATAATAATAATTTAATTAATTCTTAATTGTCAGTAATCGAATTAATTAATGAACATTATATCGTAAACGTGGGGAAGTAAATCGAGTAATTATTATTGGAGTCTCAAATGTAATTTGAGCTAGGAAAAGGGAGTGCAATAATATAATGTTGGTGACCCATTAATATTATATAATTAATTAGAGGAGTAGGTTTGGCCCACAGTTAGTCTAATTAATTAAGGAGCCCTTTTCTTAATCTCCTAAGGGTCCCTACTGTACCTCTATATATACATCATTAAGCTCATGAGAAGAGAAAAAAATTCCTATTCTAACCTGAGACGTCTCACGCCTCTCTCTCTCTCTCTAGATCCCATTCGAGCTTTATCTTCTTCTTGTTGCTCCACTGATACAAGTTGAAGAAGGGTGAGTAATACAGTAGAAGATCTGTAGGTAAACCGAGACGAAATATATTTTGTCATACTGTATTGAGTAATACAGTAGAAGATCTCCCAGGCTGCAAAGTTCGTCCTCATCTGTTTGCACCCGTTTGATCCAGTTTTGATCTGATCTTGTTCGTGCAACCCAAGACGTGATTTGCGGTCAACCGTTTAGGGTCAACCAGATCTACATAAATTTTAAGCCGTAAGTTCTCTACGTCAAACCTTTAGATCCGCTGCGCATAGGTTTACATTTGCTATTGAATTCGTGATTTGTACATAACGAGATCCTCACAGATCCCAACTCTCACGCCCAACAACAAGCTACCTAGGCCTAAACAAATTTGACAACAATTTTTTATTCGGGAAAATTACGTACATAGAGACCTGGCTATAGATATTTACATATATACCATCCTTGCAAACATAAAATCGAAATAGGAGTAATAAGGAATTTTTATTTCAATTATACGAGATTGTGATTTATATCAGAAGATTTGTTTTTCTCTCTCTCCACATATTGATAATGGCATTCAAGTGGGCGAGATTCACGCATGAGTAACCGAAAATTCATAAGAGAAAAAAAAAAAGAAAGAAATAAACATGGCAAATGTGATGCCAATAATTCAGGTAATCAATAATTCAAAAATCGAAGTTGGATTTACATGTCAATTTTTTCTTGAAATATAGGAAAAAAAAACACACAAAGAGAAGATATATAAAAAAAATTATCGGGGTGTTGTTTGTGAAATTGACCGTGAAATAGCAGCTGAGCCAAAACTCTTGAAGGTATATTTCAGCTGGGAAAAAAAATAAACAATCGTGTTGTTTTGTGAAATTGATCGGGGAATATACCCTGAGCCAAAAATCCTGAAGGTATATTCATGTTTATGTTATTGATCGAAATGGTATTTACCATTCATTGAACTCTTGCAGTGCGAATATATGTTTAGATATACTATATATATACATCAGATAAACATGATCTGATAGTTCTCTAATATTAATCGTACAGTTATACATAAGATAAACAACATTAGAACGAGATAAAACATAATTCACAATTTTGAATAATTGCAAAATCCAAATCGAATGTAGTTATACATATGATAAACAACAAATGTTTACTTTACATGTCATTTAAAATGTTCAACCAACAACTTTGCGCACTCTAAAAGACAACACAATATAGATTGTGTATAACTAACATATAATTTGTGTATATGTTTACTACACTCTTTCAAACGGACATTTAAAGTGCGGATAGGTCTTGGCTGCTGCGAACAAGCTTCTGGGTGACTAACGGTCAGGTTGCCACGTTGAACAGCAGCCAACTCACAGACTGAGTCCTCGGCAGTGATGGCGGAGGAGGTTGCTGTAAGGAACTCGACTCGACTGGGCCCGTGATGATGGACTGTTCGCTCGGAGAACCGTCGGCGGCTCATGGAAGGGCTGCTCAGAGGACGAACGACGATGTTGCTCCTAGCGCGGACGGTTGCATTACTCGGGGATAATGGGTGGTCGCCAGAAAGCGGGTCGCGACTGCTTACGTATATGCCGTGTGAGAGAGAGATGAAAGAACGAAAAAGAAGAAAGAGATGAGGGTGTGTGTGTGTGTGTATGAGAGAGAGAGAGAGAGAGAGATTAGTGATGCTTCTTAGAATTATGCAAGAAAATAACTTCCATGTATATATCACACTTGCTTTGATTAATTAAATTTCGTATACATGAATTTAAGTTACCCAATCCGTAGATTTGATAATAATTAGCAAAGGATGAGTAAGGGGAGTAATTTTCTCTTTTTATTCTTTTCCCAAAATTTTGAGCTCATGGGCTACCTCATTGGTTCCATTTTCATCGATCCACCTGCAAAACAACATAAACTGCTATCTCCAGTTTTTCAATATTAATTTTCACTGATTTTCTTGAACCGTCTATTTTCCAATGACGTAATCAGGGGCGAAGCCACCCCTGGGCTAGAGTGGGCTCCAGCCCGAGGTGCATAAAAATAAAAATAAAATTATAACTTTAAATATTTAAAAATTTTATATATAGCCCCATGTAATTTTTTGTATAGCTCCATCTAATTTCGGGTGGGATATCTCAAGGTTCAGATCAAATTTATTCATTTGACAACAATGGTGGATAAGTGATGATCGTAGCGAGAGGAAAGAAGACAATCCTTTATTGTCAAATGACAATTATGTTCTTAATAAATTTTTATTATTTGAGTTTATAATGTGGCTCAACAACGTTTTAAATTCTTAACGGATTGATTTGATCACAAGTACAAAATGAGTTGAATAATTAAACATGACGCACACTTCTCCCGCGGGCTATTTTGGGCTTGTTTCATTGCACAGTTTGTTGACCATTTTCGTTCGATTTTTGTTGAATTCGCCCCCAATAATTAATTTGGCCTCTTTTCGTAGACAAAAGAAAAAAAAAACTCTTACAGAGTTGTTTGCAAACATGTTCGACTCTAGTTATTTTATCGACAAGTTCGATTAGCTATTTGAGTTTCACTTGTTTAAATGTATACCGAGTCGAGATTGAGTTTTCACAATTCGAACCAAAATATGTTAATCGATAATTCGATTCTAGCCATGGAAAAGCAAATTGTGGATTGAAATCGCCAGCCCGAACATGTGCTCATTGAGCTGTCGGTTCTTGACCGCCCATTTCATTAAAATAAATAGATATAATTAAAAATATTCTTCTTTGAAAAAAAAAGGCTGAACCTCCGGTTCCGATTCCGGTTCGAAATTGAAACTGTCGGTTAGAAATGTGGAAACTATAAAGTATTAAACATGAACCGGACTGGTCAAAATCACGGGGTTCAAGATCCCTGGTCAACGGGCCGGTTCGGGCCGAATCGGCAGGCCGGCCTGACCCATGACCATGTCTACTCGGTTCCAATAATAACTACAATAATATGCAGCCCGGGTTAAAAAAAATTTCTACGCCCATGGATGTAATTTTTGCTTCCAAGGTCTTGACGAGTGAGTGTGTATAATTACACCTCTCCCTGTTATGGGCCCTCATATATTACAAATTTCTTTAAAAGGGCTTTGTCTTGAGTTTAATTCTGACAAAATTCATTTCATGTGCAGATTGGTTGAAGTGGGATGAGCTGTGTGCGCGTATTTCAGTTTTGAGGTGACCACAAAATTCTCCTCGTTTTCCGTCAGCTCCAAGAATGACGTGGGTTGACATCAACTTTTGGAAGATTTTTCCAAATGATTTGTAAAGGGAATGTGATTCATGGATTATTTGTTATATAGCCGCGGTTGTGGACTTGTGGTTCAAGCTCTTGTTCTCTCTCTCTAGGCCCGCATATACTTTTACAGATTCTTCGTAGGGCCCGTGAAAAAGTGAAATTATTGACCCTACTTTTCTGCATTCGTAAAATTTATTGATTTTCATAAAGGTATCAAGAAATGTCGCTCCTCTATCATACGGATCTCCAGTTTATCTTTTCCTTTCGTTTTTAATAGTTGGTCTCTCTCAATATTCAAGATTTAAAATTTATTGACTTTCATTAGAAAGATATGCAGAATTGTGAACCTTCTTAGTGTTGTAAGATTCCATAAATGCATCATGTTGTACTGATCTCTCACGTGTATCCATGAATCTTCATTTTCTCTTTGTGTTAATGTATTTATTTTTCTTTGTTATGATTTTCTTTAATAGTTTGATTACGCGGTGCAAAGATGAAAGGGGCAGTGCTGGTAGCGGCCACAATCGGCAACCTGTTGCAGGGTTGAGACAATGCAACTATTGGAGGTCTTTTCTTCTTCTATTCTCTTATGTTATTTTTGTAGATGTTCAAATATTCTGTGCTTCCCTTGTCTCATTCTCCCTCCATCCCGTGATTTTTAGCCCTTTTAGCTTAACTTTTACTGTCCAGTACTAAATAACCGTCTCCTTTGTTGACTCGAGATGTGTTTAATTTTTTTTTTCACTTCTTATACCCCAGTATTAAGTGATATTATTTCCCACTCTTCAAAACCAACTGAATGCTGAATTTCGTGTACATGGCTAGAGTAGGATAGGCAAGTCTAAATACTTGCTGAACTTTATAATGCCAATGAAATTCAATTTTTTCGTAACAGCGGATTTGTTTACACGAGAAGATGAAAAATGATATACATTCTGTTTATGTAATCCATAAACCAACTATTTGTTTCCACAATCAAAATGGATATAAATTCATCATTTTTCATCCCTTTTTACCTTCAAATGGCTAAAAACTCCGGTTGTATTATAACACTTTACTTAATACGTGATGTAGGGATGCGTACGAATGTGTAGGATAAACAAGATACTCTCTCGATAAAACTCACGATCAATTCATATTCTTATTTTTTTTCTAAACCAACAAGCATATTTTATTGAAAAACAAGTCAAAATTTAGGGGGGCTTATTCCCCTACAAAGCCACAACAGTCGATAAAACCTTTTCGAAAAAACAAGTGAAGTTTGGGAGGGGCTTATTCCCCTACAAAGTCACAACAGTACATCAGTAAATCTCGATAAAACCTTCTCGGTTAGGTTTTTTCTTCTGCCTCGTGCTCCGCCTAACCCGTTGTTTTTTCCCAGAGGAGTTGGTGTAAGAAAGTGGAGTAGAGGGGCTAGGGAGGGCTGTATTAGGGTTGTGCCAAAAATTTGGGGCAACGGTGAAGTCGTCCTCAAATTTTGGGAGGGGAAGAGAGTGGTTAGGGGAGTCTGGTTCAGAGTCAGTAGAGCTACTCTCGACTAGCACTGAGTTGGGCTTACGTGATCCCAACTCCAAAGAGTCAGGCTCATTGCCTGATCCCACATCAAGAAAGGAGGGTGGAGAGGATGAAGAGGGGTCAAGAATGGAGGTTGGGTCTGAGGTTGGGGCCTCGACTAGAGGTGGAGGGGAGGTAGAGGGGATAGAAGAAGTGAGGGGGTCGGAGAGGGAAAAGTTTTGAGTGGATGGGCTAGATTTTTGGAGAGTGGGCTCAAAAAGCAGTTTTTCACTTTTGTTGACTTTGTTAATTTTTGCGGGGCGAAGGATTGGGTTTTTTATGTAACAGTATTTTGGAAAGCGTTCGAACTCAGCATTGAGTTCGATGCATTTGTTTCCGCAAGAAACAACAATATGATCGGGTGGGGGGGATTCGATATTCAAAGCTACGCAAAAGCGTGCATAGTGAAGCCGGGTTTTGTTTCGTGTAGCATCGTAGACTTGAAGAAGCGTGCCAAAGATGTTGGCGATTGTTGGAATGGCCTTCAGATCGAAACAAGGAAGGGTAAAGCTTGGGATTTTGACCCAAACGGGTACAATGGGAGGTTCTTTTTGTAGTCGAAGTCAGCGGACCATTTAAAGATTCGCATTGGAAAGTTTAGTATAGAAATTTCGCGTTTCATCCAAAGTTTGGTAAACGTATTTGGGTTATCAACTTTGATCAGGACGTGGTTTGCATGAAGGAAAAAAATTTTGCATCCCATAAAACCCGAAAGAGCTAGATTCGATCGAATGGCTTCGTTGGAGGGCTTGCCAAAGGAGAATTTTCCTATGAGGGCGTATTTGAGGTCCTCCAACATTTTTTAGACTTCCAGGGAAGAGAAAAGAACCTCCGGGATGCTACCGGAGAGGGAAAGAGAGCCATAAGAGAAGGGCTCGGTAGGGACGGTGTGTTGGGCGACCGAGAGGAAGGATTTTTTCGGTCCAAGGCCACTGGTTTGTGTTGACGAGGAGAAAGGGGCGGGTTGGAGGTGTTGGACAGAGCTTGGGACGGATTGTGTGGGCAGGACGAAGTTTGGGCCTGACTGGAGGGTTGGGGCTGTGAAAATGGGCCCAACTGAATTGGACCTAAAAAACAGAGGAATGGGCTTGCGTAGAGAAGGCCCAGAGGGAGGGATAAGAGAAGGAGTACTAACCGGCCCAAATAGAGAAGCCGTGACTAGAGCTTGCTGAGGTTTATGCGCCGCCACCATCTGGTCTTCGGCGATGTTGACTGCGGGAACTACTGACGGATTTTGGTCGGCCTCCCACAACAAAAGAGATGAGCCGCTGGCCGTCACTTTTCGATCTTGAGGACGGGGGCCGTTGGGAATCAATTTTGTTGTAGCACCGTCAGCCAGGGGAATTCCTGCAGAGACGGCACTCGAATTTATGGCGGCTTTAGGTGCTACGGCGGAAGCTTTCTCTAGGGCTATAGATCTTGATTCGGAGTTTAGAGGGACATGCTGAGTACGGGGCAAAGCAGTCCGTCGGGGTTTTTGTCGTCGGCAGAAGGGGCTGCTGACCAGATGAAATTTGGTCCGCCGGCAGGCTTAGGAGGTACTTCAGTTCGTCGGGAGGCCATTCACGAACCATGGCTTGGGTTTGGGGGACCACCGCTAATCGGCCTGCAATGATCCAAAGCTTGTCTGAAAAGATCTGCTCACTCGATAAGGTTTTTGGAAGTTGGAGGAGCTTGTCCGAAAAGATCAGATTCAGAAAACTAGGTCAATCACTTCATATCCTTATTCAATAATCAACTGCAAATAACAAAGAAGAATGAGTCTTTAAATAAGACTCCTAAAGCCCTAAATCTAACTTGTTCACCAATCTACTAAATAATAATGATAATAATAATAATAATAATAATTATAATAATAATATTTCTTCTACATCATTCTCTCCCGGTTCAAAAGGCTTCGCCCTCGAAGCCGATGCGTACCCGTGGTCGGCGTGTGGTGTCAAACCCATAATAGGAAACCCCCGTCGTTTTCCCCGGTCGAACACGAAGGTTGAACGGCACAGTGATCTACCTTGGCCAGCCACAAAATCCTCGGATGCGCGAATGACACTTTTCCTCTCCTCCACTTGAGTTACCCGACCAACCCAAACAAATACTTCGGAACCACAATTCATTAACTATCATTTTTTGTTTCCGAGAATCGGTTTGGAAAGTGCACCATCGTCAACAATGGTAACCTCACACTTCCCTTCATGAAACTGCTTCAATATATATAACCGCGTGTCTTCTTCAACGGTTTTGATAGCAGCAGTTCCAGCTTCATCCTTCAGCCCCGAAGGCTCCTTATCAAAGATCGGTGGACCATCATAGAGACCGTCCACTTCGCCGATAAGACGCTCCTCCACCTCCTCGAGTCCTTCATCAAACACCGGCGGACCATCTTACAATGGCCCGTCAACTTGCTCTTCGTCGAATTCGGAGATGTCAACGCGAAACGGGCCCTTCCATCGACCATATTCGCGATCAAGCCCACCGAAAAACTCAGGGATGTCGAACCCCGCGAAGCCGGCGCCATCATGTTCAAGTCCCCAGTCGCATCGGGCACGATATCCGCCGACGAAGGCAGCCTCCTCGCGCTTGCCTCTTTCGTAGATTGATCGTCGCCGTCCACGAAGACCGGCCCCGACGCTGCATGTCACGGCCACCGTATGCAGTGAAGGGGTCCACCTCGACGTGCGGGGTTGGAAAATCGTCGAATTGATTTACCTCCGAGACTGTCTCCTCGTTGTCTTCGTCGTCGGACGGTGGTTGTGGAGATCCCCAGCGGGGCGCCTCGCCTGGACCACGGCCTCCACGTCCTCCGCGAATTCTCCCGCACACGCGCCGGTTGCCGGCGTCACGGTACGTTTGCTTGTCTCTGATACCAACTGTAACATCCCACTATCTTACTAGTATCAGAGTAAAATTTTTGCAACTTATTTCGAAATTAGATATAAATTTTTCGAAATCATTTAACTTAACTCATGATGCTACTAAACTTATCTATTCTGAAAATCTGTTTTCCTTTAACTTGGTCTAAATACTTGTTTAGACATAAAGAAAACAGATATGTATAATCTAATCAAACTAGCATGTAACTCAACCAGACCTGTCTAGAGATCCGATAAAATCTGAAAACTAGCACGCAAGTTTGATTCTGAAAATAACGTCAGCGAAAATGTAAAGCGTGGCAAAAATATATACAAACTGAGTATATACGAAAGTCCACAAAATGGCTGGCTGAGCCTTATCCACGACCACCACCACAGCAACTCAACTCACGCCTGCGGCCCGACCCGAACATCTGAGAAAGAAAAAATAATAGTGGGGCGTGAGCACGAAAGTGCAAAATGCTCCGCAGAAACTCATACTAAAGTAAACATCAATAATAATAACAATATCATGATCGTCAGTATATATAAACTGAAACTGAAACTGTACTGTAACTCAATCTCCCGGCAATCTGAAAACTCGGCCGGTAATCATGTGCACACTCTAGTGGAATATTAAGGCAACTAGCGGCCACCACCAGAACTTAGGGGGAAAAACTCATGGCAACTCGGGGCCACCACCCTAAGAGGATAAACTTAAAATATATACATACCTCGGACATGATATCAGATATTATACTCAATGTAATACCCAGTCTGGGCTCCCACCAGTACTTTCGAAAATGAAAATGACAGTGCTGAACTTGAAAACTGTCTCGTCAAACTGTATAAAAATATAAGCAATTAATATACTAAGCACTATGCTCAGAAGGCAATAAATATTGTTTAGATATCCCCGTCAAAGCAACGAGCAGTTAGCTAGATGTCTGACTCTTTGGGACAGTGAACTTCTTTTCTTTTTCCAGTCTTTGAGGGGAAGCGGTGTAGTCGGAATGGAACCATGGTACGGATAGTTAGATGTATGTCCTCAATCTCCGCGGACAGATCTGCAAACTGACGACCCATTGTCTCGAGCTCGCGACCAAACCACTCGGTCCGACGGCAGGTTGTAGATAGCGGCGACACGCTTGTTGTTTGCAGCATCTTATCTTTGAGAAAGCATCGTGAATCGTGCTGACTTCTGATACCAACTGATGTAGTGATGCGTACGAATTGGAAGGATAAACGAGATATTCTCTCCATAAAACTCACAATGAATTCAATTCATGTTCTTATTCAATAATCAAATGCAAATAACAAAAAAGAATGAGTCTTTAAATAAAACTCTTAAAGCCCTAAACCTAACTTGTTCACCAATCTACTAAATAATAATAATAATAATAATAATAATAATAATAATAATAATAATAATAATAAATTATAATAATATTTCTTCTGCATCAATACGTCTGACGGTGTTTTATCTGCCCGAGTCGCCAAGGTGGCTGGTGAGTAAAGGGAAGATGCTCGAGGCCAGGCGGGTTTTGCAGCAGCTGCGCGAGGGAGGATGTCTCGGGTAATGTCTCTGTATGATTTTTTTTTGCAATTTCATTTTTTTCTGCTCGAATTTTTGGCTGGCTTTTGATCGTTGGCTGACTGGATAAAAATTGCTCTGTTTCTTGATGCTTGTGGTTTTGATTTTGATTTTATGGGTTGTGTAGGAGAATTGGATGTTGTGCATGAGAGGAAGTTGTTTATGTGGATCATATCATGATTCATTTGGTTTTGGAACTAAATTTATCTTCTATTTAATCTGAGTGATCGCAGATTGACAGTTACTTTATCTGTATATAATATCCTAATATAAGGAAGTTTACTCGTCAATTCTCCATTTATCCTCACCTTCTCTTAGGATTTCGGCTTGGGGGATGTAGGTGGATTGGAGGTAGTCCTGCATAATGTCATATAACTTCCCTTCCTTTTGTTTACTCTCTTTATTGCTTTTTATTTACCGTCTGGTTCGATATATTATTATGGAGTGCTCGGCAAGATCATTTTCCACCCATTAAGTTCTTATATGTCCATCATATGATGACTCATTGCTGCTACTGTTTGATGATAACCAAATTATCTTATTGTGAAGTGTGTGATACTAATGCATGTTCGATTGTCCTTATGATTATGCTCAAACTAAAGTATGTCAAATTTTCATGGATTTTCTCATCTTTCCCACAATGCTTATAGATAATAAACAAACCCAGCTAGATTAAACACATTAAACTTCAAAACACGGCTAAATAACACGAGATGCTACCGAACGAAGTTTTCCAAGATATACTCTTCACGTCAGTATGCAGTTTTTTACCACCCAGAAAACCATTTCTTGAATTTGTAGCAAACCAGCGTTAAAATCGAAGAGGGGTTCAGGTGGGTGTACCTGCACCAGCACCAGGAGATCGAGTCCAGGCAGGGGTTAAGAGGGCTTTGGTTGTTGGGATCGGGATTCAGATGCTGCAGCAGGTATTATTTGGAATTCTTCTCTTGATTTTTCTGTCTGCTTGTAGTATTTGAGTTGTGAATTGTGAGGGTTCTCATTTTTTCTAGTGTTTGTAACTATAGGATCCCGAGTGGTGATATTATTTGATCTTTTACGAGCTCTCTCTCCCTTGGACTTCCCTTTACTCTTCATTCATCCCCTTTCGAAAGATGTCGATGGAGAATGTTTACTAGAGTCGGTGTGGCATGACACTTGACACTTGACACTTGACACTTCAGCAGGTGGGCGTAGGTGTTCATCTCTCGAAGTCAGCAACTTTTTGATGCTTCCCAGCATAGCTATTGCAATGAGATTCGTGGATGTAGCCGGTAGAAGGTAACTTAAACCCTCAATTTTTTTTATTTTTTTTTTTACTGTTTCCCTTGAACAACTTCATGTCACTTATCATGTTAGCCCCAAATCGACTTTTCTTGAATAATATAATTGATGTCCCAGTACAAAATTTGAATTACAAGCTAAGCAGTCACTCCTTGTGAAAGTATGTTCGACTAACATATAGAATTGTCCGCGTAGTTAAATTGCTCTTTTCTCCGTTAAAAAAAAAAATCTAAATTTAAACGCAGGTCTTTGTGCCCTCGTCTTTTGGATTTGCGACTTCCTCGTCACATACACTATGCCCATTCTCCTTAACTCTGTCGGCTTAGTTGGCGTGCCCGGGTTTTTCGCCTCCGTTTGCTTCGTCTTGTTTGTTTTCGTGTTCTTGAGGGTTCCCGAGACAAAGGGCATGCCTTCGGAGGTTATCACCGAGTTTTTCGCTATCGGAGGTCAAACGAGGCGCTAGAAATGGAAGATTTGTTTTTTTGTATAGGATGAAATGGAAGAACAAATGCTTAGGTGGGTAACAAAAAAAATGCATTAAAAGATTTGTTTTTCGTTCAGTATTGTGATTTATTTTTGTAAGGTGCACATGAATAATTAATTCTTTACAATAATTTACTTTTTAAGAGATTTGGTTTTCAACATGGTTATCTATTTTCATCGTCATTCACATATTTTTGTGTTAAATTTAAATTGGTTATAAATATATATAAATATGATAATTAAACTGAACTTGAATTGTTGGGGTTAATCTCTCATAAGGATTTCCCCTCCAAAAATGGGCGTATGCCGCTTAAATGCGGCAAGCACACGGTATTCTTTAGTAAAAGGCGAAAGAATAGTTCGCTCTGTGCTTACCGCGCGGCTGCGTGGTTTTTCAGTAGTGAGGCCCTATCTTTTTATAACCTCTCTGTGCTTTCATTTTGATGATATCCCAGACGATGTGGGACAAAATGAATATATGACACGCGAAGCACTATCAGCCACAATAAAGTGGGCAATCTTTTGAAAGATTGATGAGATATTTTAATTAATGATTTTAAAACAGATGCACTCTATTTGGCCAACTTCATTTACTTAACTAGTATTCGATATTGTGCATATACACATATGTTTAAATTATCATAAGTTATATGTACGTATATAATATTAAAATTATAAGTTAGATAGTAGTATCACATTTTAAAAATTTTGTCATTAGTGAAAATGAACATCATAAAAGTATTCAACTTCATCACTATAATGATTGCATAAAATAAAATGAATAATGTAATTTTTATAAAGAGTGTAAGAATTAATCTTTATTCATAAATTAACAATTTAACATTTTTTCTCACCATAACGATAGATTTTATCTCTCAAATTTAGAGTTGACTCATTTTCCAAGCCTAAACTTAGATAAAATACACTATTAAATTGATCGGTTTTGCTATGAAACCATCGGATGGCTCGGCTTATGGAGCCATCCATAGTTATCTACAAATGGTGTATTGACACGTGTCCTGCAATAAATGCACATTGGACACGTGTCAATATATAAAGTTATGGATGGCTCTATAAGGGAACCATCCGATGGCTCCATAGCATTTCTGTTAAACTGATAATTTAATTTCCTTATTTTGGAATCTATATCTATATATATATATAAAGAGGTTGTTGGAAAAATACATTAATAGAAAGTTTGAACTAATAAATAAAACAATTGACTTAATATAAATGGAATGTTAAAAAAAATACATTTGAATCTTTAGTAACAAAATCTGAAACCTATTTTTTTGGTAACTAATTTGGAGATTCTTATGGCAGAATTTGAATCCCATTTTTTTGCATCATATTTTATTTTTTTACCAAAATTAAAATCATATATTTTGGTAAAAAATTTGGAGATTTTTATGCAAAAAATATGTTAATTATTTATGAAAACAATTCTAAATACAAATTAACTTAAAAACCGTAATAATTGGATACGAATTTAGGAAACAAATAGTCGTATAATTCTAAACCAATTCTTTCAATCTTATTGAATAATTTTTTCTTTCAAAAAAAAGTGTGTAAATTGGATAAAACCTGTGCAATTTTTATTTTAGAATAAAACTGATATTTGGACGGGATGTACATTCAAAATTGTGTCCACATTTTTGGTAACAAAAGCGGTTCATCTTTGATATTTAAAGTCACCTTATCCAATTATTTAGGAAAAATTATGCGCAACTTTTCAAATTTTAAATGCTTCGATTTTCTTGGATTCTTATGTGGTTTACTGAGATTTTGGTAAGTTCATATCATTTTTCTTTTTTTGGTTAAGTTCATATCATTTTTTTAGGAAAGAGACAGTTGCATAAACATTAACAAATTGTTTCCATTTTTATTAAAATTATTTTCAATTCAATTTGTTTGGTAAAAAACTCGGTGCAGTGTTAGGAAAATTCAGTTGGATTTTTAGGAAAAAATTGACGATTATATATTTGGTTTAAAAAAATATTCGTATCAATTTGTTTGATAAAAAATCGGTTTATTGGTAGGAAAATCCGCTTCATTTTCAGGAACAAATAATGATTCTTTTTAATATATATATAAAGGTTATTGGAAAAATACTTAAATAGAATGTTTGACTTTTTAATTAATTTGTTTGACTTAATAATTTAGGAAAAATTGTTAAAAAAATGAGATTTTAAAAGCAATATTCGAACCAATTTCTTAACAAAAAAAACCGGTAGGATGATGTTGAATTGTGGATGAGGATAATGTCAATTGATTCTTTCCGAATTGTAAGGTCACATGTGAAATATATATACCAAGGATATCTAATTTATTAGTTACTTAGGGAGCATGACTGTAGGAGATCAAATTATATCAATGTAAATGTAATATCAAGCCATATAAAACAAGTTTCTTTATAAGTAATTTAAACATTCTTGGTAAGTTTTAAATTATTATATATAATAAATCCTTTGTTTTTTTTTTATATATTAACAGATACTACCTCCCCTTTTTTTTTAAAAATGTCATTTTGACTTTATTAACAATTAACCAAATAAATGACGCTTTGTACATATTTTTTCATTATTAACCCTCATCTAGCTAATAAATACACTACATTCTTTCATATTCATTCTCCATCTTTTCTCAAAACATCCATCTCTATCCTCATTAATGAGGGTTATTATTGACAACAAAAAATTCTTAATTACTATGCAACTTTTCAAAACGACACTTACTAAAAAAAGGAGGGAGTACTATATATGTACTTATATATCTATATTTATATCTATATCTATATCTATATATATATTGAAAGAGGTTGATTAAAAAATCATTTATATAAACTTGATAAAAGCTTGGAGTCAAAACCTTTGACTTACTTCTTTTGGAAATTCAATCTACTACTATAAAACAACAATAGAGATTTACTTTAAGTTGAAAAAAAGTTCTCGCCTAAAATTTTAGATTTTACTACAATTGATAACTTTTTTTTAATTCTTTAAAAAATTGGGAGTTGATTTGTAATTTGAATTTTAGCACCGACGTTGGATGTGGCCGAGTCTATCAATGAGTACATGACATCATTGAATTTGTTGGATGGTCGTATGTACTTGAGCTCTGACAGTACATGCAAATCGGATTCTAATAATGATTTTTTGTCTGATCTCCATACGCCTGAGTTTTTAAATAGTATTAAGTGTTTTAGAATACCGAACCATGAGTTGTATTTGAAAATTGGAACTCCAGTCATGTTGTTGTGGAACATGTATCATTCTATGGGTTTGTGTAATGGGACACGATTGGTTATGACAAAGTTATCCACTCATATTCTTGAGTGTAAGATACTCACAGGAGATCATGCTGGTGATACGGTGTTGATTCCAAGAATGGTCATAACTCCTTCTGATGTTAGAATTCCTTTCAAGTTCCAGCAGCGGCAGTTTATCATTATGGTTTCTTGCGCCATAACTATAAATAAGAGCCAGGGACAATCCTTATCTCATGTTTGCTTATTTCTTAAGAAACCAGTGTTCATTCATAGCCAGATATATATTGTTGTCTCATATGTCACTAACCGAAAATGTTTGAAAATCTTAATTTGTGGCGAAGATGACATGCCAAATAATCAAACCAATAATGTTGTATATAGGAAAATGTTCAGTAATATATGATCTTTTCAGTTTAATTATATGTTTATATGTTTATTCTTATGATCATGAACTTTGCATTATTACACAATTTATATACAAAAGTGCCTTCTAAAAAACTAAAAATAATAATTTTCTCGTGCATCGCACGGGCAATTACTAGTCAATATAATTTACTATTGATTTCCGAATTGACAGTTAAAACTGTCCATGACCCAAATTGATAAAACTTTTTTATTTAAAATAAATCCATGAATTTGAATCGATAACAATACTAGTTACTACTAATAGAGTAAATAATATCATGAACCAAGCCATTACAGGGCTTGCAAAATTGAGGCCAAGATTCAATTCAGCTGAAATTTAAAGGTTCTATTTAAAATCAGAATAATGTTACAATATTTAATGATTCCTGAAATACTAAGTGGTAAAAAACGCGCAATTAAGAACAATTTGTTGTCTCAACAGAGTGATCCTACATCTCCTTTTCCCTAAATCAAATCTATGCGTTTTTTATTTTGTAATCTATATCTATATAATCGACAAATCTATTTTTCCAAAATTGGCTAACCTTTTTCCGATAAATTTAGAAATATTTTTTGTTAAATTATTTTATAATCATTTTGTAAGTTAATGTATATTCTCACATAATATATTGAATAAATTTTGGGGATATTCACGAATCATATATTGGTATGATCAAGATATGATATATCTTTAGAGATTAAGGTTAATCTTTATTTGGTAATAAATATATTGACATATCTACGCATGATATTTTTAAAACTTACATAAAGATGTTTGTATGCTTATTTTTAAATCACACCGATTTAACAAATAATATTAATTAGTAATCCATATATTGGTAAATCATACAAGCATATATCTTCATCATTTACCAATGATAAATTTCGTATAATTTCATTTGTTTATGATTCATTATTTTGGTTAATAATATCTATATTCCATTGTTAATGTATGCCTCATATAATTGGTTTGACTTTGATTTTGAAAATGATTGCAGTGCATATAATTTAAAATTAATTATCAATTAGTATAAAAATATTACCCTCTTTACGTGTGATGTGATTATATAACAATGAATAAGATCATCCCAACGATCGAAACGCAGAAGATTTATTTTACACGTACTCAACAAAACATAAAAAAAATGGTCATATCACGTGTAACCAATTGTAGTGGTTTAAAAATCGTATTGTGTGGATTGTTACCGTCAGGAAGATTTTCTATCTAACGGAGATCAATGCTTCTAATACTCAGACAGAAAATGTTGTGTATAATTTTTTCTTAATAATAACTTATTTGCTATCAGACACGAAAGCAGTGATCTTGGTATAAATATTAGTTTGTGAATATCATTGTAACCGATCATACCATCATTCTAATTATTATAAAATTTAAAATAATATTGAAATAAATTTCATTTATTTTTTCAATTGATTCGCGAAAACATATATTTTTAACTAATTAATAACTTGCTAAAGTAAATGTTATTGAACCATATTTTTCCGTGCATCGCACAGGTTTAACACTAGTTATGTATAGCGAGTTAATGCTAAAATGTAACTCTGACCTATCCTATATATTTGAAGAGTAAAAATGATGCCAGCGTTATCTTGTGGGATTCCTTTCTCGGTCGTTCTCACTTTCATTTACGAAATTGAATACACCACCACCTTTTGTATATAAGTTGAGTTAGAAAATTACCAGTTTCAGGCCAGCTCCGGTTTGAAACTGGCGCAAGTATATATATGGGACGGTTCACTGAATAGACGGTTCACAGTAAAGAACCAACCCGCCAGTTCAAGGCTGAATCGACCCACATATTTTTAAAAGAATGGAGGAGGTTTAAAAAAACCGAACTTTGACTTATTTTATACATTATAAGTTAAAATATCAATTAAGTTGAAATTATTTTGGTTTAAAAATAACTAGTACAACACTTAAAAAATTATTCTTAAATTTTAAAATTAATGAGAAAAATTATTTTAAATTTTAGTTACACTTTTTGTATATTATTCAAGAACAAAACATGCTACAGCAAAGTCCAAAATGAAAATTACTAATCCAGAAAATCAGAAGTTGGTTGGGAAAAACCACATGGGCTCTGGGAACATGGGTTTTAGGTTGGGAGGGTCACATGGATAATAGCATGGTGACACAGTCTTATCCTCATAACTGAAGATGCCAATGTCATGGTTACCTTGATTAGAATCACAACGATCTGGTAAAGCATCCGTAAAGTAAATGGAGTTGGGCTTCAGCTCTGGGAAGTCACGCGCACGCAACGCAACAGAGTGGTTGTAGTTACCGACGAAAAGAGCCCAACCACCCAAACACGAACCTTCCACATACTTTAAATCCCCATCCTTGGGATCATATCTATGAACATCAAAATCAACAGTCGCGGTCGAGAGGTCAGAAGGCGATTCTTCTAGTATGAGTCGAAATACAAACCATCCGAGTCAATGGATTCCACGATGTACTGAGTCACCACAAGGAGATCCTCTCCGGCAATCACCAGATGGTACTCATGCCAACATGACAAGTCGTCTCTAGACTGTAACAACTCTTTCTTCTTCTTCTTCATCTTCTCTTCGTGGTCGAGGGTATTACTAAACTCACCCATAATTCGTATCAACTCAGGGGAAGCAGCCGTCGTCAAGTCCCAAGCCTCCAATTGGAAAGTGTTGGTGAGGGCAAAGAGTGTCTTTTTGCTTGTGGAGTAGACGCAATCTAAATAATACTCGTCTTTGGAATTTGTGCCGAACCATTTCCAATTGTCACTGGACAAAGGGCAGCACACAGCCATGGATTCCCCACAGTAGGTTAGACTCACGGCCACACATTTTTCAGTGTCGGGAGAGCAGGAGATGAAGGACTTATGGAGAATGGGTGCTCTGTTTAGATCAACAGATGGGCCGTACAAAGGTGGGAGCTTTATGCGACGGCGGGACATGGGGTTGTAGAGTAACAGATCGTGGGTTTCGCGCTGCACGAGGGATAGCCAGCCACCGCCGGAGGAACCCCGGAAACTCAGAAGGTCGCCGGGAATTTGTGGGACCCACAGGGTCACGACCCTGTTCTCGGCTAGGTTGTACAACTTGTAGGTCATCGTGGCGGCCGTGCAGACGGCGCCGACTTCATATGCGGGTTGCAGCATCAGCCAGGGAGAAGAACAAGAAGAAGAAGATGGATTACCTTTTCCCGGCGACATCAGCGCCGCCGTGCTCATGCCTCTCCGACAAAACCAATTACAGTCGCGACTCCATTTTCCAGAAATCAGATAGCTAGAAAATCCGGCAAAACCTCGGCCGCGGCGCAGCAGGGAAGAATAAGCCATCGATTAGGTTTTCCTATTATGCCTTTCTATTTTGTAATTAGGTAGAGCAGAGCGGATGCGGAAATGTAATTTTTGACCTAACAATCTATTCTATTTATTTGAAGAGTTGTATTGTGAGCTTCCCTCTCTCTAATAGCTTTCCAGGCTGGTTGCCAATGCGTACGAGAGTGTCGACTGAAGAATGCATATAACCAAGCTCGACGTGCACGAATCAAAATACAACAAAAAGGGAGCTGTCCAATGCCAGCGCCGCTTGCACCCTTAGCGGGCAACTGAGGCTCGCAGCTTATAGGGGTTACCGGCGCTAAAGCCCGGGCGGGAATAGTTTTAATTTCAGTTTTACTTTCGTTTTCAATTGATTTAGAAATGCTTGTATGACTATATTAGAGTGAATTTCAGACTTTGTATGCTATCTTTTTATCTTTTATCAATAAATCAGAAAACGTTCGTTTTCGAGTATCAATCCGTATCAAAATCAAGGCCGTTAGTGCAGGTTTTGATATAATTTTCGATACTCGATACACGATTCGTAACATTGGTCCCACTCGCTCTCTTTTGCATTTAAAAAGTTGAATTTTTTTTTTTTTAAAGTATTTGTTCACTATTATACCACCACTCCCAGTTTATAAGATGCACACCGCCAAGATACAACGACCATGATTCATCTGACCCGTCTAAACATTCGGCCGACCCGACGTTCCAGATTTTTTTTTTTTTTTAAATGTTATTAAATTCCCGCCTCCCCACAAAATCTAATTTTTCTCACCATTTACAACTATTTCTCACTTTTTTCATCTCATTTCTAATTTCTTCAAGTGATAAATTTGAATTTTTGTGCTAGGTCCTCTATACAATCCGTCTAGTTCTATATAAACTAGTCGCGAGCCCGTGCGACGCACGAGATGATATATTTTTCTAAAACATTTTTAATATTCAATATTAAATTTTATGGACTTGGTATATATATAACAAATGAAAATGGGTAAGACAAATTAAAAAATTCATAAATTATTGAACACTTCCTTTTACACAACATTTTTGGTTTGATTTGGTGGCAAGTCATCGTCAACACAGACTAATATTTTCATACCACTTTGGTTTGTGTCATGGGATACAACAACGTACAACTGCACATGACAGAAAACCATCTTATTTAGAAATAAACCGACATGCAATAACGATTGTCCCTAACTCTTGTTTACAGTCATGACGAACAAAAACATAATGGGAAATTGTTGCCTCTGTAACTTGAAAGAAATTCTGACATCAGAAAGAGTTACAACCATTATAGGAATCAACACCTTCTTACATTCGTGATCCTTAGTGAGTATTTTACACTCGAGAAAATGAGCGGAGAGTTTTGTCACATCCAACGGTGTCCCATTACATAAACCCCATAAAATGATCCATGTTCCACAACAACATGACAGAAGTTCCAATATTCAAATGCAACTGATGATTTATAATTCTTGAGCATTCGATACTATTCAAGAACTCAGGCATGTGTATATCAGACAAATATCGTTATTAAAGTCCAACATGCAAGTATTGTCGGAACTTAAGTACGTATGACCATCAGATAAATTAATTGCCCGATCCAATTGTCATTTGTCATTTACTACAATTGATCAAGTGCGAAAATCATAATCCACAATACCTATATAAGTAAGATCCAAATAACAGTATTGCAAGATTATTTTTAATCAATCTACAAAAATAAAGGATATTTAAATAAAATTACAAAACTAATAACATTATTAATAAAAGCAATAAACTAACAACATTTATCACATATTAATCAAACAAATACTAATTAAGAATGAAAATATAACTTGTATAAAAAAACTACACATTACTATTTAATAGTATTAAGCATATAAAATCCATATAATGGATAGCATATTATGCAACATATATAAATATTGTAAACACATAATTGTACCAAAAGATCGGCTCAATAATACAAATAATGCAACTCCATTCTTAGTGCAAAAAACAACAAATTTTGGCCCGTTTACATTAATGAATATGAAAGTGAATAGGTAACAAATTCGTGAATTTTATAATTTATATAAAAATATTATATTAATTTTCATAAAAGATCTTTTTTGAAGGAATATTTTGATGTTTGTTTGATAGAAATTATATAACAGAATTGCGAATGATTTTTTTATAGATATAACCGAAACTGATATTGCAATCAGAATATAACATAATTTTTTTACAACATCATTTTATATTAATTTGGTTTATAATTTGGTTTTTTATTTTAGTTTAAACTGTAAGGACAATGTATAGGTTTTCCCGTGTAATCTATTATTATAAAATACAGAGAAGAAAAAATGTTTGAAAAAATATTTCAATTTCCCGCTTAAAAGCTGTTTTTCCCCCTAAAGTTTAATTTGAAATTTTTTCATGCAGGTATTTGAATTATTTTTATTCCATGCATGCACGTTTTCAGTTTTTTTGAGATTTGGATTTCATTTGTATAGATATATATATATATATATATATATATACATACATATATAAGATTTTTTTTTGACTAAACTCACCTATCTTCAAATTACATTTTCATATGTCTATCGATCTGTTTTTTATTTCCTGTTTTTTAGGTAATCAAGCCGAGTTTAAATTATGGTATCATCCATCAAATGAGTAATTGTTTAAGATAATTAGCCGTGAAAAAAGGAATTGAGTTTGTAATTTATTTGGTTAAATTCAGTTTTTGAGTTAATTCTTCTCTTATGAACACGTTTCTGCGGACGGATGTTGCGGTATTGCAGGAGAAGATGATTTAAATATATACAAATCCATTATCATGAAAACCTTATTTTTTTATTAATTTTTTTACACGTGACAATTATTTTGTTAAACTTTTTACACTAATCATGGTAACAATTTTTTAAATGGGAATGCTATAATAAAAAATAAAAATACAAAATTACACGTATAAACTTAATTTAATCTAAATCTCTTTTTATTAAAAAGAGGTAAAATAACATTTGGTTTCCCGCTAAACTATTTGAGTAATATTTTTTGTCAAAATTTGAAAAAATCCCGCCTAAATTAATGTACAGAACCATTTTAGTCAGATATTGCGGCTATTGCCTTTATTAGTTGCATGATTTAAATTTGGAATATAATATATTGACAAAATTTGCAGCTATTACCTTTATTAGTTACATGGTTTAAATTTAGTATATAATATATTACAAAAAAATAAAAAGATTTTTATTTAAATTTAAAAATAAAAAATAATTATTCATAACTTACGGGTCAATATTTACTTAGACGTAAACGAAATAGTCAATTATATAACTTACGGGTCAATATTAACTTGGACGTAAACGAAATAGTCAATTATTTATAATTTAATAAATTACTCAATTACTTAATTTTTTTTTTAATAGTTTATACAATAATAAATTATTTGAAGTAATGAAACAATATAAATTTTATATTTATACTTATTATTCACATAGACTGTTAAATATATGACAACATTTTACCAAAATAACTATTTTATGGAATCACATATAGTCAAATCGATTTTCTGAATCAAAATTTTGGAATGGTACTTATTTTGGAACGAATATAATGTAATTTATTATCAGTTATGTGCACCACACGGGTTGTATACTAATTTTAAATAGACATTTTTATTTAATTTTGCACAATTTAGACTTTATATAATACTTTCAATAAATTAATATAAGTAAATTGTATTACATATTGATTCCATATTTTAAATTTATAAATATTATTTAATAAGAATTTTTTTTTTTGGTAAAATTTAATAAAGAATTTTTAACTATAAATATTAATAAATATCTCTTACCCGTGCATTGCACGAGACTTATACTAGTCAGCACATATATTGTAACAGTGTTTTGGGATGATTTGTATCTTACTTCTGGAACAAATAATTTTGGTCATTTTGTTATAAATCTATTACTATATAATACGGAGAAGAAAAATTATTTGAACAATCCGAAAATAATCATTTCGTTTTCCCGCTTCAATATAGTGTTTTCCCGCTTCTTCAATTCGTAAAAATTTTTTTTGAATTTTTTCAGCCCATGCAATTAGGTAACCAATCAAATCGAATCTTATAGCATTCAATTTGGTAAGGTGTTCCGATTTTAGCATTCAAATCCGATTTCACTTCCTTTTTTTATGCCAATCAATCCGATTTTTTTGGTTGTTTCAAAATTTGTTTAGATTTATATTTTTATTTTATTAATATATTTGAAAGAGAATCAATAAATGTTTATCATAACTTTTATTTTAAAAATAAATTTGAATAAGCATACTTTTTACTTTATATGAAATTCAAAATTACATATTTTAATATATTAATAAACGTTTATTATTTATTTTTTCCTTATGTGATATAATAGAATTTCGGTATTAAATTTGTAAATTCAAACATTTAAAGGAAAAGATTCCAAACATTTTTTTTTGGGTAAATTTCATTTTATCTTAGTTTTCATTATCACATTTCTAACAAACTAATTAGTATTATATTTTTTTATCTATATTATCTAACCGATTTTTTATGATACAATTAATATAATATCTTAACAAATTAATCATTTGTCTAACCGGATTTATCTCTTTAACAAACTTGTCAATTTTTTTAAAATTAAAATGGTATGATTATTCTTATGGAGATACTTATCAATATATTAAATATTTAGAAACTTTTTTTAAAAAATGAGTTATCCCTCCTTTTATTTTATTTGAAATTCTGACTTATATTTTTAAATATATTATTATTTATTTTTTTACATGTAAATATTTATTATTTATTATCTAAGTGATAAATATTATTGATTTATCTCTTTAATAAATATTTATTATTTATTTTTTTCCTTACGTGATATAATGTAAATTTGGTTACTAGATTTTTAAATTCAAACATTTAGGAAAAAACCACGAACAAATTTTTTGGTTACATTTCATTTTATTTTAACTTTCATATAATCACAATCCTA